TTTGATATTGCTATGCTGGCTCCTTTATCCGCACCAGTTTTGTCATTGCAGCACATAATTTTCCCTACATGCCAGCCTGCTGAAGGTTAGATTTCCCGTCCAGTCCTATATTGGTGTCAAAGACCACCAAATCATTTCCTTTCTCACGAGTGCAGAACGACTATTGTAATAGTCCATCCTATTTGTAAGGGCGTCGCTGAAATTTTGTAGATTGTTGTTTGTTGGCTGGTAATTTTTGGCAATGGAAAAAACTTGATGCATGATGCCCTAGCTGACTAGCATCTAAGAAAGCCTTCGTTTATAGATCAATTTATCTTAACTTTTTTAAAAATATCACTTGAGTTTGAAATGATGGGAATTATCCAAGTTGTTAAGAAGCCTACTCTTTTCTCTGTTTATCTTATATTGTATATACATGTATTGTTAGTACAGGTCCTATATTGAGTCTATGATTATCTTGCTTGAGTGGCATTCATGCCCTTTGTTTATTTGTTATGCAGATAACATCCAGGTTGGAAGTGTTTACATTGTGATTAGTGGGTCCACGGATGGGAATGTTGCCTTTTGGGATCTAACCGACAGTGTTGAAGCTTTTATGAAGCGGGTGTCCTTTCATAACATAGAGAAGTTCTTTGATTGTCAAAAACGTCCGCGAACTGGGAGAGGAAGTCAAGGTGGTAGATGGTGGAGATCTTTAGGCAGTAGCTTATCAAAGAAAAAACAAGACAGTGACATTGTTAGCTCAAAAATCAGAGATGAGTTTAATGGCATCAATTGCACTATGAATGGGACCTCTTCAGCAACAAATGATTATCAGAACAACAAAACCGCTTGTTCTCAATCCTTACATGCATCTTCCCTTGAGTCAGAAATCAACAATCATAACTCCTCGTTGGAAATATGTGAAATACCACCTATACATATTCTGCAGGGAATTCATCAGTCTGGCGTCAATTGTCTCCATGTTTCAGAGATAAAATGCGACCAAAGCACTGATAGATGTCATGTGTACAGTATTATTAGTGGGGGTGATGACCAGGCGCTAAACCATCTTTTAGTTGAATTATCATTTAAATCATCGAATTCAAATGGAGAGACTATGAGTCAGGATATAAAAAATGTTGTATCTGAACCTGAACAACAAAAGGACATCCACTATCATAGTTGGAGCATGAAAAACAGGATTAGATTCTTAAGTTGCGAGAAATTCCCCTCAGCCCACAGCTCTGCTGTGAAAGGTAAAGAGGCCCAACTTTGCTTCTCTCTCTCTCTCTCTCTCTCTCTCTCTCTCTCATTCTGTTTATAAAGAAGAGTAGATAATATATCAGTATCTTAGCCTGTGGTCCTCTTCAGAGTTTCTGTTCTTGTTCATGATAATACCCGCTCTGTTGCAAAATAGCCAAAAAGCTCTGCATCTTTTTCTTCTGATGATATATAGATGGTGAAAAATTGGAGGACTTATGGTCCTTGAAAACCATATCCGCCAGAATCATTCCACCAAAATGAAACGCAATATAACAAAGAATACATATAGATACATTTCTAGTATCTATTTTCAAGAGATTTGACCAGAATGAATCGCATTTGCATTTTATGAAGGTGTCTGGACGGACGGTTCTTGGGTTTTCTCCGCTGGACTTGATCAGCGTATCAGATGTTGGCATCTTGAGGAGAGTAAACTAATCGAGCATGCGCGTATAGTAGTTAGTGTGCCAGAGCCTGAAGCATTAAGTGCCAGAGCTTGTGGAAGGTAACTGCTATTTTAGAAAGCATGAACAGGTTGTGTTTTGGATGTAATTTATTTTACCTAATCCTTGTTCGTGTCTTACGCAGGAGCCTGTATCAGATTGCTGTTGCTGGAAGAGGGATGCAAATGGTTGATTTTTCTGCGGTTTGACCTGACACTGATGTTATTGTTTCCCTTTCCTCTTGCATCGGACATGGAGGTTCAATTTATTCAACCTCCTCTTTATAATCTTGGTTTCCGCATGTACCCAAGCGTTTTGGTACGTATGCCTTCTTCTACCTTGTACTAAATGTTGGGAATCTAAAATGTGATTTGGGCTCTTGCTCACGCAATGTTTTCCCATGCCTGACTTGAGACTTCAGAGATGATTCTGCCGAGAAAACTTTAGGTATCGAACAGAGAAGTATTTGAGGGAGATGTGATTTGAGCAAATAAAGTTGTGGGTTATGATAAAATGCTGAATAATTTCTAAATTTTACGAATTTTTCTCCGTTTTGGGACGATGGCTAATTAAATATATAACCGTTACGCTAACTCTACGCATTCTTACCTGTCGAAACATGTCTCCCAGTATGTATGTATGTATGTATGTGATGAGGTTAGTATGAAAAAGAAAAGGCGGGTGCGCCCATTATATGTATTAACTCTTGAGAAAACGATCTTGCTTATTGCGCTCATCTGACTCAGACCCCAACTTGTGTCGGACTTCTATTTGGTGAATTCAATGCTCCTTGTTCTTCAACCCTGCACAATTGAATTAATTATATCCTCATCTGTCTCTTTGAAATCGAATTGGGTAAAAAGAATTCGCAATTAAATAAGGTCGACGCATGTTTTCGCACTTACGGTGTTTCCACTTGAGTTTAGATCTCTTATGTCACTTGCATGGTATTAAAATTTAGGATTTAAATTCTTCGAGGTTGAGATCTGTAATTTTTTTTGAATTTTTCCTTTTTAAAAAAGAAAATAAGATTTTATATTTTACATAAAACAATTACACGAGGAAAAATACTTGGGACAAAAAAAAGAACTTTACATAAATTTATAGATCTGGACTTTCAAAGATTTAAATTTTAAAATTTAACTCAAGTTGGCTTTCAGATCAATGAACTAGTGAAATCCAGTTCAGTCAAGAGTTTGAAGGAGTTGATCAAATTGAATTTTATATTTTTTTTCTTTGTCTAGCTTAAGGCGATATTGTTTTGAGTTTACAAAAAAATAAAAATTCAAGACATAGAAGACGTGGTATTTTAGTAATCATTGAATTCAAGAAGCTGGGGGTAACCATTAGCTGTATTTGAATATAATAATAACGATCAGATTAACTCGGCACAGTGCAGATATGGTTAGAATGACAATATTAAAGTCGGATACACGTTCATCATGCCTTCACATATTCATTGAGTGGAGACACCAAGAGATGACCTTGGGGAATAAATAATTGGAGATCCGAGGATGCCACCATATCAATATTTTGTACATGTTCAGAATTGGATTTCATCATTATGTTTGAAAATAGAGAATAGACAGGCGTTGAATTATTTGAGGGCGGTGCTACAACTACAAGCACATAGCAATGCAAATGAACGGGTTTGTAAAAGCCGTGGAAGATTGATGACGAGATTTGACCCTGACTCGGGATATTGTTTTATTTATGCAAAGATTATTTATTTTTATTATTAATTTCTTTGATGTAACTGAATAAACTTTTATAAAAAAAAATCAACTTAATTAAAAAACTTACTTTGAAAATATGAGATATTTTTAATCAAATCTCATTCTCAATAAAACAGTTAACTACTTTTAAATTAATCCTACCTTTTTATATTTATTTTTATTAAATATCCTACAATAAAGTTACTATTAATAGGGATACTTTAAAAAAAAAAGATAATAATTACATATTGAAAGATTAAAAATACCTTATATTTTTAAACATTTAACTTCTTAAAAAATATTTTATATTTTTAATCGAAGGGAGTGTATTATATGTTGTGGTTTAAGTAAAAAGTAAGTTAAATGTAATTTTGATTTATAAATGGAGTAGAATCACGTTTAAGTTGGTGGGAAAATCAAGAGGCAAGAAACAGGTGAGAATTTTGGTTGAAAGGAAGGGACGACGCCGCCAGGCCCGCCACCAACCGCGTACAACCGGTATGTGGCAGTCCACCCAGTTTGATAAGGGATTAGAAAAATATGCTATTAACTAATATTTTGGTTGAAAAGTTAAAAAAAAATTCTCAAATTTCTATTTCTGGCTTTATTGATAAAGAATTAGAAAATTTTGGAGGACGCCATCAAAGCAATTAAGCAATTCCATTTAGTCAGTTCGGGTGAACGCAAAAGACAATATACCCTCACAAATTCCAAGTTATGATTAATTCTTTTTTTTTTTTCTGTGATTATGAAAGATAGAAGGAAGATAAACCGTCCTTAAACTTAAAAGTTTTGGACAGGTTAGAGAACTATACAAGCATTTTACCCTAATTGGAGTATAACTTTGCCAACGAGAGTAGTAAATAGAGGTTAAAAAAGTATTTATAGAACTAAACATAAGTGATGAAGGGTTATCCATTCAAAAAATAAAATGGCCACAAGTGGTGGAGTGTGAGATTTGAACTAGATCTCGAGGGAGGGTAGAGAAGGTTTTGGGAGCGATGAGAATGGCGACGAGTAAAAACTTGAACAATAAATTGGTGGATTTATTAATGGTTGTGAAAATTCGACTGTCAAATTTTAAATATGTGAGGTTAAAATCCTAAACCCTATCCTTTTCCTCCTTTGACGCCAAGCCTAACTATTTTTGTTATGGTGCTAAGCCTAACAATTTTTCTTTGGTTTATCAAAGAGTAACAATGTCTTAACTCTAGATTAAGATCCGTAATATTTTCCTCGAACCATTTTCTTAAAGCATCTAAAATCTATGCACAATGTTTATTAGGAGAGTAGGAGGGGAAAACCGTAAATCATTTGAAGGTGATTAACATTATACATTAAATTATTTAAAAAAATGGCACGAAGCTTTACCTTAGCAATCTGATTTACCCATTATTATTTTTTTACTTGGCAAAGCCATTAGACGGAGACAGCGAACGACGAGCGATGACCGATTGGAGTAGGTAAACAACCGGTAGTGTCCGGTTATGCAGAACCGGAATTATGGCTGCGCAATTCTTCCATTTTCCCTCCCACCACCAACCCCTACAAATCCCATCCCTTCATTTTTAGTCGTCAAATCCGCAACCGCCCCTTCCGGTAGCCGATCACCTGGGCCGTTACATGGTATAAAAATGGGTGTTCGTTTGGAAGAAGTGTCCATAACCAGTCATCCTTTCATCGAGATCTGGTTTGACCTGAGTCGTGTACCGCCAATCTTCGTTGTTAGATTTCACTGCACTTGCTCGGCTCCAGGTTAGCCTTTTTCCTTCCTCTATTCTGCGTACTTGCGCGTTCTTTTATACACCTTTGCACGTTTTTTTTTTGTTTTTTTTTTATTTTTCAAGTTCTGTTCATGATTCTGCATCGCATCTGTGAGGTTTTCTTTCGCTGCTGGTTTCCATCCTCTATGTTGGAAGCATTCCGTGTGAACAATGGCTACTGTTTTGTTCAATACGACTAGATTGCTTCGGATCTGAATGTTTTGCTTTTATTTTTGGATTGCTGCGTGAGTTCTGGCTCATTTTGCTCTCTACTTCTCTCATTTGTACTTATGGAGGTCCTCGTTTGTCCCTTTCTGGAGGGGAATTTGAAGTACGTTCAATCTTGGAAGTTGAACTTGCCGATCAGAATATGATGTTCCTTTGTGTTGCTGCGGTTTTGAGTATATTCATTGCAATAACTTTGAACCAAAAATATAATGAACGTATAGAGTATATTCATTGCTCTTTTATTTGGCACGTAATACTATTATTTTTGTCTGATTATATCTCTCATCTTGAAAACAGTGAAGAAATTGTAACCTGCAACCAATCGTTTTAAGATATGCTGGGTTTCTGGCTTTCCATGTGTCCTCTTGTCCTATTAGAGACTTGGCTGCTGAACTTTTCTTGTAACAAGACATTAAATGTTTTTCCTACCACGAAAAGGGATAATTACATACAAATTTCACTCAAGATAATTAATTATTCCCATGTCCATTAATAACTGTTGTCACTCAGCTCAGTTGTACATTAAATGTCTTGATGATTCAAAAATATAAATTACTTTATCGCAGATCATTAAATATTTTTTTCCTTATAACGCCTCTCTTATTTTTTTAGCAAATTAAAATTCCTCTCTTTAATCATAACATAAGAGAAATTTAGAATTTATAAAGAGAAATGTGAAATCTAAAAAAAAAAATTGCTACAAATTTAATCAACTCAACTAATTTTATTAGCTTGTGTGAGGTAAGTATCGATGCCTTGTATTTAAAAATTAGAAGCAGTATGATCTTAACATTGTGTTCCCGATTCGGTACCTTTGAAGGCGAGAGAACTTGTTTTATTCTGTTTTTGTTTTCCCCGTATAGTTTGTGTTCAGATAGCATGCTTACTTAAGCTTTTATGCTTTTGTTATTTTGAGCTGTTGTGTTTTGATAGACTAATATTTTGTTTACTCTCTGTTCTGTGTATGTGTAGCTTGAAAAATGGAGGAGACCTTTCTTTTCACATCGGAATCTGTCAATGAGGGTCACCCTGACAAGCTGTGCGACCAGATCTCTGATGCTGTTCTCGATGCTTGCCTTGAACAGGACCCTGACAGCAAGGTAGCCTGCGAGACATGCACCAAGACCAACATGGTCATGGTCTTTGGAGAGATTACAACCAAGGCCAACGTAGATTATGAGAAGATTGTCCGCAATACATGCCGCAACATTGGATTTGTCTCTGATGAGGTGGGTCTTGATGCTGACAAATGCAATGTATTGGTGAACATTGAGCAACAGAGCCCTGACATTGCCCAGGGTGTGCACGGCCACTTTACTAAGCGTCCAGAGGAGGTCGGTGCAGGTGATCAAGGTCACATGTTTGGGTATGCCACTGATGAAACCCCTGAATACATGCCCTTGAGCCATGTTCTTGCAACCAAATTAGGAGCTCACCTTACCGAGGTTAGGAAGAATGGTACGTGCGCTTGGCTGAGACCAGATGGCAAAACACAAGTAACTGTTGAGTACTACAATGACCATGGCGCTATGGTTCCAGTTCGTGTCCACACTGTCCTTATTTCTACTCAGCACGATGAGACTGTTACTAATGATCAAATTGCTGCTGATCTTACGGAGCATGTTATTAAGCCAGTCATCCCTGAGAAATACCTAGATGACAAGACCATCTTTCACCTCAACCCCTCTGGCCGCTTTGTCATTGGTGGCCCTCATGGGGATGCTGGTCTCACTGGCAGAAAAATTATTATAGACACTTACGGTGGTTGGGGTGCCCACGGTGGTGGTGCTTTCTCAGGGAAGGACCCCACTAAAGTCGATAGAAGTGGTGCCTATGTTGCCAGGCAGGCCGCAAAGAGTGTTGTGGCAAATGGGCTTGCCCGCCGGTGCCTTGTGCAGGTTTCGTACGCCATTGGTGTTCCTGAGCCCTTGTCGGTTTTCATTGACACTTACGGAACTGGAAAGATTCCAGACAAGGATATTCTTCAACTTGTGAAGGGGAGTTTTGACTTTAGGCCTGGAATGATCACCATTAACTTGGACCTTAAGAGGGGTGGCCATAGGTTCCTCAAGACAGCTGCTTATGGACACTTTGGAAGGGATGACCCAGACTTCACCTGGGAAGCTGTGAAGCCACTCAAGTGGGAAAAGCCTCAAGCTTAAGAGTAATGGATCTTAATCTGTGGTGGTCCCATTGGTCGTAGATGAATAAGTCGTGTGTTTAGTTCATTTTGCTCTATGTCTATTACATTGCAACAGTTTATATTCCCTTCTCGTATACCCAAAATGATCCTTACAATTTAATTATTGGTTATGCAATATCACCCGTCGTGGCTAAATCTCGCATCAGCAAAGTTTTGTTTGTTTAAAATGATCAAATTAAAATTAGTGTGGGCTTTGTAAAATAAAGGGTTGTAGAAGATTTTGAAGTATAACGTGGAAACTATAAATTGCCATGAATATGAACATTTATTTATTTTTTATTTTTTTGATCTGGCATGAATATGAACATTGAGAACCAAGCTGCTGGTTGGAGGAGTCCATGCGCCATACGTTACACGGCTTCAACATCTTTTACGATATAGGAATACTATTATATGCCAGGAAACCTCAAGGTTTATTCTGTTTTGTTATTTAACATTCTTAAGCCTAGTTTTAACGTAAGTTGAATGAGATGATTGGCTTTTGATTGGATCAAAAGAAATATTGTGGTGGAATCAATCGTTATATTATGTTTAAAAAAAAACTACTGTACAATTCTTGTTCATCTTACTCTTAATTATCATGTATTTTTTCTAATACTAAAAATAATTGATGCTATTGAGTAGTCGTGATAAGTTAGTTAATATTCAGTTGATCTAACTTTCACTGGCGCCAGTGTGTGGACCATTGGCAGGGGAATGCAAACCTATCAAGTCAAAAATGCAATGCTTCGCGTGCCGGCCGTTTTATCTGGTAAGCGATATGAGGAAGAACACGAAAGGAGACCAATAGATGTTTTTGCTGTGGAAGCGTGGGTTGCTGTTTCTTTGCAGATAATTTCATTGAGCTTTTAATGCAATTAGCTTGTCCACGTGAAACACCGACTAATAATCAGTATCTCAGTCGGGAGGGCCCCAAATGAGAGAGAATTTTTGTTAAAAACGTTGTGTTAATTCACACATAATTTCGAACTCAAGATATAAACAACCGAGGTTCCTTGCACATGAATAATCCTCCTCTATATGTTATTTCGGGAGACATTTGGAATGGAGGCGATCCACGTGAGACACAGATGTTTCTTTGCAGACAACAAAATCACCGAAAAAACGTTGGATGAGTCTGAAAATCACAAGCTAAAAATTAAAAATCAGGAAATCCCTTCCAGTGACTGTTGAGTCTTGCTTAACGAAAATATCACATCGATTAGAATTTAAAGAAACAAAAGATTTGAAGCTCATTTTGAAGAGAAAAAAAATTAAAAAGCATACAATCTCAGGCTAGAATATATAACTCCTCCTGGCCCGATGAGCAGATAACTCTTCTGTCGTTCTATGGAGAGAAACGAATCCCTGATTTTCTCCGTCGGCTCCTGTTCCTTCCTTCGTCTCCGCGAGAATCTCAAGCTCCCACCGCCTTTAAAGTAGGCAAGTAATTAATTTGAGTATATGATGACCTTAATTAGGCATTTCGTACAACAACTCGTTAGGTTAGATCCATTGCGTCAAAATATTGAAAATTTCTTTTATAGATCAGGTGCGACATGTCACTCATGATCAGTTTAATTAGAATACCTCAAGTTATTTAAATAAAATTTTATATGAAATTATTTTAATTGATTTTATTCTTATAATAAAATATATATTTAATTTTTCATATTTTTTCTCTCTACTATTATTAATGATAGAATCAATTTATATTTAATAATATTTAAATATTATATTTTTATTGAACAAACTATAAATGATATGGTTCACTCAGTTTGTTTAAGAATTTTTTCAAAATACTACCGTCAGTTTAAAAGTAAATCTTGCTAACGGAGGAAGGTTTCATGCATATGTTGACTAATTGCTTGCGTAACTTGGGAGGTGGGAGAATTGCCTATCAACATTCATAGTTCAATTTTTTTTTTTTTTAACTGAAGAAAAGCATATATTAATCAAAAGAGATTACAAATTAGAAGAGTCTATAAAAGGATTACTATCGTCTGCAACCAACTACTGTTGAAGAGGTTGGGGGAGATCATAGATGCAAAAACTAGTCCCCACACTATGAGACAATCTAGCTAACACATTAGCAAAATGAGGGCAATAAGAGTGAGGAAGCTTTTGTTTCATGTTGGACTCTGGAGTTTAACTGACATATGCACACCGCAAGGAGGCAGTGCCTTTGTTACCTTGAAATGAACAAACAATTACATGCTCTTTACTCCCTCTTGTCATAATCCTAATTATAAAATAAGGTTGACTGATTTTATGTCTATTAAGCTTCGGAGTTGATACCTTTAACTTATAGAAAGAGTGTGACTTTTCAATTTTACTTTTCATATCAACAACTTGTTACAAGTAAAAAGGGACTAGCCCATAAGGTTAAAAAAACAATTATCACATCTTTTACATATATCTAAGATTATGTATAACTTTAAAACTTTGTCATCGAAACAGAATCAGAGAAACTACTTCATTACAATTCTCCCACAAAAGAGGGAAAACTCGCACACATCAAACATTCATGAATGAGTATGTTTTGGGGAAAAAACTTGAAATTTCTCCATTTCGAGAGCAGGGCATGATGTCATTGAAGAATAAAGCGGACAAACGTGTTGTAGATCGCATTAATCACATAAGCTGGCGCCTTAGCTTGTGATTGTTGATACAGAACCGTTTCAGACTTACGATCCATGAATTGGGCTCCTTCCATCATCATCAACATTGGCTGTGCCTGCTCAGGAATCCTAAATGTATACTCATTTTGTGGATCCACATTACGATTCCAGAATTAACTACCTACCTTATTTCCTTATTACCCCATATCTTTCCGCTTCCCTTTGCATTCCTTCATTATATTATTTCATACGTTGTTTCAAAAGCAGTCTTAAACCATTTTAGTCAAAAACCAAATGTTGGTGCGGCTCATGTGAAATTAATTAGTAGTGAGAACAAATCTATGTCGATGCTTCTAGTTTTTTTTTTTTTTAAATCATCTCCCTATAATGCTGGAATCATAAATCTTCAACCCAGCACTAGCATGGCTATTGGAAGAACTGAAAATTATTGACTCAGCTAACGGGCGAAATCAGTGTGAGACTGAGATCCCTTCCAGCTGACCCCTGGCGAGAGCTTCTCTCTAGCTTAATTTCAATCGCCAAATGCAGCCACTGAAGTGCATTTCTGTAATTATCAATTGTATAATGCCTTTGTATGGATATAAATATTTTGGTGCTCATCGCTGTGATGAGATCTAGACCATTCAGATTTTAATTTGGATGGTCCAGATTTAAAGCATTATTATATATTATATCTATTAAAATAAAAATATACAAAAATTATAAAATAATTTTAATAAATTTTTTTATTTTTAACATGACCTAAATTTAATTTAGATAATCTAATTTACTATTAAAATTTTTATAATTAATATATATTAACTATCTAGATGTATTTTGCACAAGCCATGTTAATATCAAATTAAATCTGGACTATGCAAAATATATCCAGATAGTTAATATATGATAATTATAAAAATTTTAATATTAAATTTGACCTTCTAAATTAAATCTAGATTATATTAAAAATAAAAAATTTATTAAAACTATTTTATAATTTTTATAAATTTTTATTTTAATAAATATAAAAACAAAAATATATAATAATTCTTTAAATCAGATCAAAATTTTAAGTCCATGCATGTTTTAGGGAGATGGATATGCCATCTTTTGACAGCAAAACGAAGCTGACCTTTTCTACTAAACTTCCATTATTTGTTTGACCTTCATGCTTTTCACACGTCTACAAACTGAGGTCAAACATATAAATGCGAAAGCCAATAGTCAAACAACTTGGTCTTAAGTTTAAACAGCTGCTCTGTCACGTTACTTGTCAGAGCTAGACGGTTAAACTGATTCAGACCTTAAATTCTCGCATTCATCTGAGACTACTATATATTCTTATACTAGTCAAATGAAGTTTATCACAACAAACTTGTTATTAGAATCGATGGCGAGCATATAACAGAAACTTCAATGGTTTAAATGGGCCAGAGCCAACGAATGTGCTCGGTTAAATTACGTAAAATTTAAGCCACTGCCGTTCGCTTTCTTTCTTTTCAAAGGTTAGATGATGTAGCTTTGAAATTTCATAACCGGGAACCAACGCCTGTCGCAAGTTACTCCTGTTTAGGAATGTAAAATAATTTTTAATATTTTAAAATCTAATTATTATTTTTTAAATGTTCTTATAAATAAATCACTTTATATTTATTTTTAAATAAAATATCATATTAAATAGAGATAAATATAAAAAATAATATTAATTTAAAGATAAATAATTACTTTTTTGAGGTGAGATTTAGTTAAAAATATTTTATATTTTTTAATAAAAAAAGTATTAATTACCATCAAGAGAGAAAAGGAATAATTTCTTTTTGGACTATACACAAAGCGCGACTATACAAATGGAAAATAAATTCTTGAATACAATGTGGACAAAATTTGACTGCATATGGGATTATTACATTAGGCCGACCGAGTTTACCAATGCATTTATTAAAGGCGCTAACTAGAAAAAGAGATAAATCAGTCATTTAATACTAGCTTAGGTGATAAGGGCGAGATTGCGAGAACGTGAGTAGAGATCAAGAGTTTAATCGCTCTCAAAATATATAAAAAATAATGTTTAATCCTTTGTTATATATTAAAAAAAATGAATGAAAGAATTTGGGGAAAACAGAAGAAAATAATTAAACTCGTCTTTCTCGAGTGACTGTTTCTGGTCAAGCCTGGCTAGCCAGGTCGGCGTGGAAACGGCTGAAGCAGAGAAAAGGGGTTCAATTAAATTAAATTAAATTAAAGCAAGAAAATAACAATGGAATGTATTACGTAACATTAGTTGGACAAAAATCTTTGTAATAATTGTATCAAAAAAAAAATCATTGTAATAATGCAATCTTTCATTTCAAAGCAAGTCAAGCGGCTCGGGCGCTCCATCCTGCGCACTTTCTCTGCGTAACCTGCGCAAATCTCGCCGGTTTCGGAGATCTTCATCTACTCATTCCCCCAGTTAGTTTCCAGCTCTCTGATCTCTCAGCTCCAGTATATTGTCATTTGATTTTAGGTACTCGTCGATCTATTATACACTCAATC